CAACTCACTCACTCACCCACACACTCACCCAATTTACTCACCCACTCACTCACCCACCCACTCACTCACCCACTCACCAACTCACCCACCCACTCACTCACCCACTCACTCACCAACTCGCTCACTCACCCACTCACTCACTCACCCACTCACTCACTCACTCACCAACTCACTCACTCACCCACTCACTCACTCACCAACTCACTCACTCACCCACTCACTCACTCATTCACTCACCCACTCACTCACTCACCCACTCATTCACTCACCCACTCACTCACCCACCCACTCACTCACCCACTCACCAACTCACCCACCCAATCACTCACCCCCTCACCCACCAACCCACCCACTCACTCACCCACTCAACAACTGACCCACCCACTCAATCACCCACTCACTCACTCCTCACCCACCCATTCACTCACCCACTCACTCACCAACTCACCCACCCACTCACTCATTCACTCACCCACTCACTCACTCACCCACCCACTCACTCACTCATTCACTCATTCACTCACCCACTCACCCACTCACCCACCCACTCACTCACTCATTCACTCACCCACTCACTCATTCACTCACCCACTCACCCACTCACTCACCCACTCACTCACTCACCCACCCACTCACTCACTCACCCACCCACTCACTCACTCACTCACCCACTCACTCACCCACTCACCCACTCACTCACCCACTCACTCACCCACTCACCCACTCACTCACCCACTCACTCACTCACTCACCCACTCAGTCACTCACCCACTCACTCACCCACTCACCCACTCACTCACCCACTCACTCACCCTTTCACTCAGTCACCCACTCACTCACCCACTCACTCAGTCATTCACTCACTCACCCACCCACTCACCCACTCACTCACCGACTCACTCACTCACCCACTCATTCACTCACCAACTCACCCACTCATTCACTCACCCACTCATTCACTCACCAACTCACCCACTCACTCACTCACCCACTCACCCACTCATTCACTCACCCACTCATTCACTCACCAACTCACCCACTCACTCACTCACCCACTCACTCATTAAATCACCCAATCACCCACCCACCCACTCACTCACTCACCCACTCACCCATTCACTCACCCACCCACTAACTCACCCACTCACCCACTCACCCACTCACACACCCACCCACTGACTCACCCACCCACCCACACACTCACCAACTCACCCACTCACTCACTCACTCACCCACCCACCCACTCACTCACCCACTCACTCATTCACTCACCCAATCACCAACTCACCCACCCACTCAATCACCCACTCAATCACTCCTCACCCACCCACCCACTCACTCACTCACCCACTCACTCACTCACCCACCCACTCACCCACTCACTCAGTCACCCACTCAGTCACTCACTCACTCACTTACTCACACACTCACCCACTCACTCAGTCACCTACTCAGTCACTCACTCACTCACTCACCCACTCACCACTCAGTCACTCACCCACTCACTCACCCACTCACTCACTCACCCACTCACCTACTCACTCACTCACCCACTCACTCACTCATCCACTCACCCACTCACTCACCCACTCACTCACTCATCCACTCACCCACTCACTCACTCACCCACTAACTCACTCACCCACTCACCTACTCACTCACTCACTCACCCATTCACCCACTCACCCACTCACTCACTCACCCACTCGCTCAATCACTCGCTCACTCACTCACCCACTCAATCACCACTCACTCAGTCACTCACTCAGTCAGTCACTCACTCACCCACTCACTCACTCACTCACCCACTCACTCACTCACCCACTCACTCACCCACTCACTCACCACTCACCCACCCACCCACTCAGCCACTCACTCACTCATCCACTCACTCACACACTCACTCACCCACTCACTCACTCACCCACTCACTCACTCACTCACCCACTCACTCACTCACCCACTCACTCACCCACTCACTCACCCACTCACTCGCCCACTCACCCACTCACCCACTCACTCACCCACTCACCCACTCACTCACCCACTCACCCACTCACTCACCCACTCACCCACTCACTCACCCACTCACTCACTCACCCACTCACCCACTCACCCACCCACTCACCCACTCACCCACTCACTCACCCACTCACTCACTCACTCACCCACTCACTCACTCACCCACTCACCCACCCACTCACCCACTCACCCACTCATTCACCCACCCACCCACCCACTCACCCACTCATTCACTCACTCACTCACTCACCCACCCACTCACTTACTCACTCACTCACCCACTCACTCACTCACTCACCCACCCACTCACTCAGCACTCACTCAGTCACTCACTCACCACTCACTCAGTCACTCATTCAATCACCCACCCACTCACTCACCCACCCACTCACTCACCCACTCACTCGCCCACTCACTCACTCACCCACTCACTCACTCACCCACCCACCCACCCACTCACCCACTCACTCACTCATTCACTCACTCACCCACTCACTCACTCACCCACTCACCCACCCACTTACTCACCCACTCACTCACCCACCCACCCACCCACTCACCCACTCACCCACTCACTCACTCACTCACCCACTCACCCACCCACTCACCCACCCACCCACTCACCCACTCACCCACTCACCCACTCACTCACTCAGTCACTCATTCAGTGAGTCACTCATTCAATCACCCACTCACTCACTCACCACTCACTCACCCACTCACCACTCACTCACCCACTCACCCACTCACCCACTCACCCAGCCACCCACTCACCCACCCACTCACTCACCCAGCCACCCACTCACTCACCCACCCCCTCATTCACCCACCCACCCACCCACTCACCCACTCACTCACTCACCCACTCACTCACCCACTCACTCACCCACCCACCCACTAACTCACCCACCCACCCACTCACCCACTCACTCACCCACCCACTCACTCACCCACTCACTCACTCACTCAGCCACTCACCCAGCCACCCACTCACTCACCCACTCACTCACTCACCCACTCACTCTCCCACCCACTCACTCACTCACCCACTCACTCACTCACTCACCCACTCACCCACTCACCCAGCCACCCACCCACTCACTCACTCACCCACTCACCCACTCACTCACCCACTCACTCACTCACTCACCCACTCACTCACTCTCTCACCCACTCACTCACCCACCCACCCACCCACTCACCCACTCGCCACTCATTCAGTCACTCACCCACTCACTCACCCACTCACCCACTCACCCACTCACTCACCCACCCACTCACTCACTCACTCACCTACCCACTCACCCACTCACTCACTCACCCACTCACCCACTCACCCAGCCACCAACTCACTCACCCACTCACTCACTCACCCACTCACTCACCCACTCACCCAGCCACCAACTCACTCACCCACTCACTCACTCACCCACTCACTCACCCACCCACCCACCCACTCACTCACTCGCCCACTCACTCACTCGCCCACTCACTCACTCACCCACTCACTCACCCACTCACTCACCCACCCACTCACTCACCCACCCACTCACTCACCCACCCACTCACTCACCCACTCACCCACTCACCCACTCACCCAGCCACCCACTCACCCACCCACTCACTCACCCAGCCACCCACTCACTCACCCACCCCCTCATTCACCCACCCACCCACCCACTCACCCACTCACTCACTCACCCACTCACTCACCCACTCACTCACCCACCCACCCAATAACTCACCCACCCACCCACTCACCCACTCACTCACCCACCCACTCACTCACCCACTCACTCACTCACTCAGCCACTCACCCAGCCACCCACTCACTCACCCACTCACTCACTCACCCACTCACTCTCCCACCCACTCACTCACTCACTCACCCACTCACTCACTCACTCACCCACTCACCCAGCCACCCACCCACTCACCCACTCACTCACTCACCCACTCACCCACTCACTCACCCACTCACTCACTCACTCACCCACTCACTCACTCTCTCACCCACTCACTCACCCACTCACCCAGCCACCCACTCACTCACCCACCCACCCACTCACCCACTCACTCACTCACCCACCCACCCACTCACCCACTCGCCACTCATTCAGTCACTCACCCACTCACTCACCCACTCACCCACTCACCCACTCACTCACCCACCCACTCACTCACTCACTCACCTACCCACTCACCCACTCACTCACCCACCCACTCACTCACTCACTCACCTACCCACTCACCCACTCACTCACTCACCCACTCACTCACCCACCCACCCACCCACTCACTCACTCGCCCACTCACTCACTCGCCCACTCACTCACTCACCCACTCACTCACCCACTCACTCACCCACCCACCCACCCACTCACCCACTCACTCACCCACTCACTCACCCACTCACTCACCCACTCACTCACTCACCCACTCACTCACCCACTCACTCACCCACTCACTCACCCACTCACCCACTCACTCACCTCAGTTTCTGATCTTCTCTCCGTGTCGTTCACCAGTGAACACTACATCCGCCAGGTCTCCACTCACTCACTCACCACTCACTCACCCACTCACTCACCACTCACTCAGTCACTCACTCACCACTCACTCACCCACTCACTCACCACTCACTCAGTCACTCACTCACCACTCACTCAGTCACTCATTCTGTGAGTCACTCATTCAATCACCCACCCACTCACTCACCCACCCACCCACTCACTCATTCACTCACCCACTCACCCACTCACTCACCCACCCACTCACTCACTCACCCACCCACTCACTCACCCACCCACCCACCCACTCACTCACTCACTCACCCACCCACTCACTCACCCACCCACTCACTCACTCACCCACTCACTCAATCACTCACTCACTCACCCACTCACCCACTCACCCACTCACTCACTCACCCACCCACCCACTCACTCACTCACTCACCCACCCACCCACCCACTCACCTCAGAGTCAGATCTTCTCTCCGTGTCGTTCACCAGTGAACACTTTACATCCGCCAGGTCTCCACTCACTCACTCAGTCACTCACTCACCACTCACTCAGTCACTCATTCAGTGAGTCACTCATTCAATCACCCACCCACTCACTCAC